ACTGTACATTGCATGGCAGCAACAGGGGGGACATCTTCTCCAGCTGAATGAAAGTGGAGGCTGGTGGTGTAAGCAGGTCTGATGATAGATTGTTGCCTTCAGTTTCTGAAAGGGATCAGCAAGAATGGAATAATTATGTATTCAACTTCAACTCAATGCAATTCAAGATACATGTGTAAACCCCTGAACCCCTAACTGCTCCCTGGCACTGAAAACTGGCAGACATTTGCTCTGTTAACGCATGTGTAGGCCCTGTCTTTGCACGTGTTTATGTGTGTATTTCGGCCTGTGTGTGTAATGTAAAATATACTAACAGATTGAAGAAATACATTTACCCCATGGGGCTTGTACAGTAGAGTTGAGGTTGACAGCACCTTACTATCATCCTTGTCCTATTGACGAAGGGATTTGGACCATTGAAAAAATAAAAATAGTAAAGCATTTTGAATAGAATACATTGTCAATCTTTTCATGTAACCTCTGTGAATACAATTTGATGAAATTGAGCAGAATAAACCAGAGTTCAGTGCCTTAAACTCGAGGTTAAAAGATAATAGCATACATTAGAGACAACTTCGAAAAAAGGAACATCATTTTGTGTCACATGTGTTAATATTGTAATCTCATATGAATAATTTGAATTCCAGATCACATAAACATAATAAAATACAAAATGTATCAGTCTTTAATGTATGATAAGCAGCTTCTAAGCAAACTAAACTAATAGGCTTCTTAATTATGCAACAGTTTATCCACATGTGTGGGAATATTTTCAATCCATTTTCAAATTCAACAAGCACATTTTGTGCTAAACTGAAGCGTTACGAAGGCATAACTGCAGTTTAATCTTTTTACTTATCACAAGTAATAATAATAAGTCCTTATATTGCTCAAACGGCAGTGTACACTTCATAGGAACAAAAGTAACGGACAAGGAGCAAATACAGTATTTTTTGATTGTGGTATTACTACAAGAACTTTCTTTTAAAGAGGTAAATAAAAAAAAGATTGAGTTGTTGTAATGTGAAGTTGATGTTGTCTAATGCACAAAAGCCTCCATTCTGGTTTGCCTGCTTGTAAAATGTGTATTTCATGGCTTTACCGGGGAATTTCACATAAACAAGTCCATTGTGTGGAGATCTTGTTCAAGCCACGTGAATTCTCAAGAAAAACATTATAAAATATTGTCACAATGTGGAGAAACGTTACATTTGGGTTACTGCAGCTTTTTTTGACAACCTGTTAATCCCGGCAGCCCACGCCCTCGGGGGCTGTGTCACAATGATTACTGTTAATCCATTATTCCAGTTTTGGCAAAAACTGAGATTTCATATTAGAGCTACAACCCAGCTTTCGGTTTTGGGCATTCTGGCTGTGCATCACTCATTCACCAATGGGTAATGTTTAGATGGATTTTAGGAACTTCCCTCTCGATTATATTGGATCTAATGGTTCAAAAGAGGTGTCAATCATCAAAATCGACCGAGGGGTTCCAGAGATATGGAAAATGCACCCAAATGACCCCAGAAGTGTTTTTTTTTTCTCTTCTAAATCTCTCTAAAAAGGTCAAATGTCACTAGTTCGTCATCAATCTTGATACAGGGTACTTATATGTTATAGTTTGGATTCCTAAAGCTTTTAGTCTACTATCCCATCATTCAAGGGTGGTTTCCACTATACGTAAGTAATGTTTTTCTTTTGGACGGACACTATCATTTAATTTAATTTTTACTATGTTCAATCTGAATTTACTTTAAAATAAAAAATATATATATTGATTCTGACTTTACTCCATCCAACTCACAGGTTTATCATTGCTTTGAGAAAAAAGATTATTAATTTACCCCTTTTAGTGAAGTGAAGTGAAGTTATAGTCATTTGTTCTGGGAATGTCATTTTCGAGCCTGAGACCTGAAAAACAGGCTCAGGGCTCAACAGGTTAATCTATTCCAATGTGTGCTTTAAATCACTTTTGCCAGAGTGGGAGCCTGAGTCACGGGTGATATAAAGGAAATATTCAAAAGAAAAGATAACGCTTGAATTCACAAGTCCTGAAACTAATAAGGAATGCAGGAAGGAATTGGTGTGTTAATGTTGTTTGTTAGGGATGTTGCATTTAGGGCATTAGGGCATCACCGTAAAATGCCGAATGAAAAGATTGTGTTAATTTGTACAGGCTTATATGAGTCTGTTAGCATGCTAACATTTCCGAGTGAGCACAAAACAGAAAAGACAGGTGAGGCTAATGGGTATTTGATTCAAAAGATGAGGGAATCAAAGTGTCTGTACCTTCGACACAATAGTGATACATAGATACGCCCCGCAGTGAGGCCCCCAGCTAAACACACTGTGACAGGCCCGTTATCAACAGTGTGTGGAAGCTATCTGCTAGGTCCATGTGTCTCAACATACAGCACACAGACACTCCCAGTTTTCATGCAGACTTTTTAAATCCAGATCAAATGTGTCTTTAATCTGAACATTGTGTTGATTCAATTAGACAATGGCAAATGGAAATACAAGGAAAGTTTGAAAATGTTGCCAAATGGATTACTTTGTCCCACAGCAAGATGTCCGTCTGCAGAATAAAGTAGACCTTTAATTACAATATGGCGCCTCCTATAATTAGGAAAAGGATATAATGCAAATTCAATAAATTGTTAAACTCTAATGTAATGCAATAGTGTTTTGAATAGTACACTAAACAGTTAAATTATATGGCATCTATTGTGGGTTAGTAAAAATACTTTTTTATATATCTGTAGTTGTTAAACGCAGCCCCCCATTCACTTCAATTGCACTCAAATTAGAATGAGAAAATTATTTTAAAATTATCCTTTAGGGGTTGACCTTTTTCTCTAAGGTTTTATAAAAAAAAAAAACATACAATAGGGTTCCTTTTAACAATCTAAGCCAACAGTATATAACATAAATAATCTATAGCAGAAGCAGGTAAAAGTTTGAGGTAAAAATGTGATTTGGAGTTCTTACAACTGTTTAAGAAAAAGGGAATACAAGGACAACCTACTGATGGTAGCTGGAATACAAGGCAGCTAGTGTTGGGTTTTTAGGTGGTGATAATGCACTGATGAGGAGCCAAATGCCATCGTCGAACAATGACACAACCCCAAATTGATATACTCTTTCTGGGAAAGTTTTGCAGTCTTACAAAGTAGATTTAACATGCTATTTTTCACATTGATCAACAATTTCCCCAAGGTTAAATATATTTCAAATTGATGTTAGAATTAGTATTCACCACCTTCAAATGAGGCTTTGTTCAGAAGTCACAGAGAACTTCAAAGCAAAGTCTAGCTTCAATATTTTTAAAGGCGCTGTTCATTTTCAAAGCTCGAATTTGTGGACTAACTTTGCAGCACAGGCTCTATCTGCATCAGAACAAGAGGGTGTGAGTTATCACTGAGAGCCAGAGACAGCCCCACGGACCCACCTAGTCAGTGTGGGACATCAAACCCCCCACCCATTTACAAGAAAACAAAAATCGAAATAAAAAAAGGAATTCAACCATTTTGATTATTCAAGCTGTAATAAAACAATTAAAGCTAACTTTTCATAGACTCATACTGATGTTCTTCTCATGTTCTAAAGTTCAAATAAAAGGGACTTTGTTTACATTAAATGGTCAAGAAGCTATGTTGCCAGAGCACTAAGATACATTAGGAAACAATATAATTAAATATGAAGTATATACAGGGTATAGTATTTCAGAAGATTTTTGTGTTTAATTGTCACCCCATCTAGAAATAATCATACACAACATTCATTTAATACATTTAGATTTTATTCACCTTTTGTTTGTAAAACAAATTGAAAATTACAACAACTTTAGTAATTAATGTTTGTAGCATGTAACCTGAATATGACATCTGAGTTGGTTGCTAACAAGGTAATGAACTTAAAATAAATAAAAATAATCTTATGTACTGTATAAATATTGAGATATTGTGAGAACACCCTCTGGTTGTAGCAGTTTTTCAGACGGCTGCTGGCTTATTGGATGAATTCATTTGAATTCCCAGTATTTGGCCTCGGTGCGACAGTGTGTTTTCCCTGAGGGAGGTCCCGCCTGAGGCCAAACACTAAAGCTTGAAGTTTTAGTTGACATTGGCGCCCCTCAGTGTAAAAAATTGGCAGAACCTGGGTGACTAAATGATTAGGCTTCTGTTCTGCATGATATTCATGCTTTTTCACTTTCTACATTCAAGAATAGGAACGCATGAGAACCTTTTTTTCTGCAGTACTTATCCACATGGTTTTCTTTTGTTATACTGAAAAAGCATTAAACAATGAATGAAAACATCACATTTGTTTACCCTTTTCACCAGCAGTGTATGGATCAAACATATCTTAAAAGGCTGTTTTCTTAATTATATTGTTTCTCTCTTGATTAAACTCAGAGACAAACATCTCCACTTTGGTTGCACTAACATAGTGCAACTTTTTTCCAATTCAATCACTTTCTATACATTGAAGATTTTTACATATATCCTTCTTAGATTGATTTATATCCCATTTTCTCACAAAGACAAAGCAAAAATGCATATTTGAATAGGGGTTGGGAGTATCTTCTGATTATTGGACATTGAACATCAGATTTCAGTTCAGGAAATGTTTCATGGTGACGTCAATGAGTTATGTGACTCAGATGCTAAGAGGAACTTGAGCATACAAATAACCCTGTTTATGTTCAGTATAGGTAACTAACATAACAAAGGAATAACCTGTTTTAGTGGTTGCTTGACAACATTACCTTGAGACCCGTTAACAAACCATGGTTGTCACCCGAAGGACATCCACCACACCCAGACAGGATTTTTTTAGACAATAGGTGAGTGACATTTAGAACTGTACATGAATAGATAGCAGTCTAGATTATGATGGAGCACTTACAAAGATTCTTGCATAACTCTTTTGCACCTGTGTGTTAGCGATAGGAAAAGACACCGTGACATCATGAAGAAAGTGACCAACAACAGTGCTTAAAGAACCATTACCTTTATTTAAATACTACAGTTTTGACATCTGATTTAACTATGTTAAATGACTTTAGACAAACAGAGCTGACATACAATAGTGAGAGCTGACAGACCAGTGGTTGGTGGTCTTCAGAAGCACTTCTGATGATCGCCCAGTTTTAACTGAGGAGTTCAATGTTAAAAAAGCAGAAGTTTAAAACTATTCCAGTTTCATAATTATGAAGACATAACTATTGTAGGCCTAATTTTGCATTTGGTTACCCACAATTATGTAACATTGCTTCATTATTCACAACCTTTACAGTAATGAGTGTTAAGAACAATGAAATCTTAGAACAGATTGCAGATATTAACATGTGTTTAGCATAGAGCGGTGAAGACGCAGAATCCAAGAGGCAGTCTCCCTTTATGTGCAACTACTTTTTCCTTGCATTCAATGAAAATGTGTAATTACAAGAGGGTTCAGTAAACAAAAAAACATAAAACAATTAGGCAGTGAGAGAATGCCAGGCAGTAAGAAAAGTGAAGTGATTTCCCATAAACATCTTCTCCCCGTCTGAACTCTTATTATAAGGAACTTCTATGAAGGAATTCATCATACTTTAACCTTTCACTTTTTTGGGTCATAGTAATCATTAGCAGCCTGAAGCACCACAATGAGAGCAAAGAGGGGGAGCTAGACGTTTGGTGGTCAGCATTTAAGACAGCAGCTAGAGGTCGGAGCACATCTTTGTTGGGTTTGTATACAGCACGTTTTTATCCCCGCCCATTTATATTAGGATTGGGGGTAAACCTGAGGTGGTATTGGATGTTGCACTGGCCTGTCTTGATGCAGCAAACCTGAGGCAGGTCTACATGATGACACACGGGGATCGACTTTTGGTGATCTTCTCCACAGGTTTACCATCATGAGCCAGCTGGACTGCATTCATGATCTGTTACAGAAAAGAAAGACATAAATCAGAAAGGGGTATTTAAGGGATCCCCCCGAAGGGAAGGAATTATTCAAGTTCTTTACATGAGTATACAAATGTCACAGTTAATGTCCTGCATTGAAAATTCATTCAGGAAAATTACCATAGGGAATTAAAGGTCGGGTAGGTAAGTTTCAGAAACCGGCTCGAGATACACTTTTTGTTATATTCCATGGAATGCTCTTAACATCCCGATAGCAATGAATATCTTAAGTGCTTTGACAAAAAATCCATAAAAAAATGTCATCTGTGGAAGCCGTAATACTGTAAAAACTACAACCAATCCGTTTATTGGATTGCCGCCCTGTCTGTCAGCCTTCCATTTCGTGCACGCACAAATGTATCTTGTGCCTTCATTGGGCATGCATTGCAGCAGTACTTCAATGACTCGCCAGCAACAGGCTGCCACTTTCACCATGGCAGAGTTAGGTTCAACATCGTCTACTGGTCGCAAAAGAAAAAATTTAACTGAGCAAATTAAGAACAAAAAGAAAGTGGAAACTAGGAGTCAAACCAGAGTCAATATCGGAGTTGCTTTGGCTGTGTAGTATTGCTAACCTAGATGTGTTTAGCTTTGCCTGATATGTAACATTACTGCAGCCTGCTCTCGCGGAGGAGGTGCTCAGTAAGGACCCAACCTTTAAAGTTAAACTACTTGGTGGCAAACATGTCCTTGGATAGCCAGTATGGCTATCTGGTCATGCATTAATGCAACAGTAAACACAATTAACCAGAACCTAAAGTTATATCGTAAACATTTTTGTATTATCCTACAAATAGTCCTCACCTCAAAATGTTTGTACGCAAGTGAGGAAAGCAGCACTTAATTTATTCAAATAGCTGCCAAATATGTGTTCCCTTTATGAGCTCGTTATACATGTTATAGACATGATAACGCTGTCAGATAACTGTAGTGGATGAAAAAGTATATGCTGAAGTTACCTCAAATATTCACTAAAAGTGCAATACTCGAAAGTGTAAAAAGTAACCTTTCAGTTAAAGGGTTTACTCACATCATCCTCGTATGGAAAGCCTCCTTGTTCAAGCTTGGAGAAGATCAGCTCCCCGTTGATTACAACTTCAAAGCTACCTGTAATGACATAACACAAAGAAGAAGATAGCATCACGATTCATGGTTTCTGGAATGATCTCTTCCTTGAATAACCCGTTCATTCACGTTAAAGCTGTACACAGCAGTTATATCAGCTGCAATAACGTAGGCTAATGGACAATACTTGCCTTGTCTTCCCACGCTGCCCGACACCTCCGCATCTTTGAACTCTTCCTTGACAACATGGGAGAGCTCTCGATAGCGGGGTTCGTACCCTCATCTACCACTGCAAGGAAAACGAAACACGTATTTATTTTAAAAGCAGAGTAGGTTACATGTTATGTATAGCTAACTCAGAGCTAATGATGCTAACTGCTAATCTGTAGCATAACCGTCTTTCATGTTGGATTTACAGCACGGACCTCGACACAGACAGACAAAGGTAAACTTACAACTTGCAAAAAATAAGAACAAGTATAATACAATATGTAATTACCAGTATTCGACTTTAATTGTCACCCCCATCGTTACAGTAGCAGCAGCAGCAGCAGTTCCCCAGCGGTGCGGAGCTGTAGGTTCAGGTTGGACTCGTTGTGTGCACTGTTCACTGGTTTTGTGAAAGAGAGCCAGGCAGCTGGGCGGAGTTTAAACTAAGAGACATTAGTCAGAACAGCTTTGATTCGTCAAAAAGGAAGTAACATTATTGAATTATATTCCAATTATAAAATCAATATACATTTAGATTAAAAGTTAAATACAAATAGGCGTAAAACCAATGGCTTAGATGTATTGATAGCTAAATAAGTCATTTTGGATCAGTAAAGAGCCCTCAATAGCCACATTTTCTGCATCTTGTTTCACCCATACTATGTATATCTTAGAGAAAACATTAACTTTTACCCCGACTTGATATACTAGCTACTATAGAGAACCGCAGTGACGCGTCGTAAAACCCGGAAGTAAACTTCTTCCGGTTCCTTTGTCAAAAACCAATGCNCATATTACATCACGCAGGGGACACATCTCCGCTCTCTGACCGCGGGTATAAAAAATACCAGCTCCTTAAAACACAACCGCTCTACTCAACGCAACTCTACTATACCCGCGGTCAGAGAGCGGAGATGTGTCCCCTGCGTGATGTAATATGACGCGTTTGACGTATGACCTTAAAAAAAAGCCGTTTTTAAGAGCAGAGCTCAAAATTGCTCCTTTCCCTCTGAATTCCTGCCCTTATGTCTCGTAAAACATATCAAATCCTGCATTCACTTTTTTAATTGTAATTTTCAAGCAAGTTTAAGCATAAATGTAGAATAAATAAAAACCTGCAAGATGCTCTTTAAATTATAGCTATTCTTGCAGTGTTTATTATGGAAGCCTAATACCGCGAGTAAAAGAAAAGTAAAATGGAAACTTAACGTTAGCTTTGATGGAAAAGATCCTGTAAGTAATTTTAATGGGAAAGGTTCTTCTTAATAACAGTTTAGCGTTATTTTGAGATACCAAGTACATTTTTGAGATACTGAAATCATTATTTTTTTAAATAAAAACTCAATATTTTGAGCCACTATATTCTATCATTTTTATATTGATGTCAAATGATACGGTTTAACTTTTTTAATGTACAGTATATTATTGAATATAACTAGTACACCATACTATACTACTAGTGTATAGAAGTTAATGTTGTTTGTTAAATTGCTGTACTATACATATTATGTTATACAATATTACTACTATACACTTTATTGAACTGAATGTTACCTCTGGCGAGCAATTAAGACCCATCTAATTCATTAGTTTATATATTTTCTCTATTTTTTTTTCAATAGATTGAAGACATATCTGAAACAATTGTTAACATCTCCCTTAAAAGTAAGTATTTTAAGTATCAGTTTGACAATGAACTAGACACTAGATGACAGAGTGATCGTACAAATGTTCTTTTCTGTTTGTTTATAATCCTCAGGTCAGCATCTTATTACCTTGCTGTCAAGATTTCCCATACAGATTTTTCAAATGAAAATGGAGGATATGCCCCTGTCAGGCCCAGACAGCAACAGGCTGGAGGTGAGAGAAACCTAATTCACTTTTAACTGTCACCCAAAGAACAATATTGGTCTTTCATGGGTTTATGTGTCATCCAGTTGAATTTGGTATTTTAAACTTACAGGCCTTGGTCCATGACATCTACTCTGAGCTGGTGGATGATGCCTGTTTGGGCCTGTGTTTTGAGGTGCATCGTGCTGTGAAACAGGGTTATTTTTTCTTGGATGAAACGGACCAAGAGAGCATGAAGGAGTTTGGTTGGTGCCATGTCTTTCAGTTTCTTCTGGCCCACATGCATTTTCCTCTGGTGTGTATCCTTACAGCATATGCCTTTTTCTATTACTCTTCTAGAAATTGTGGATCAGCCAGGTGTGGACATATTTGGCCAAGTGTACAATCAGTGGAAAAACAAAGAGTGCGAGTGCCCAAACTGCAAAAGATTGATAGCAGCTTCTCGCTTCGCCCCGCATTTGGAGAAATGTCTCGGCATGGGACGAAACAGCAGTCGCATCGCAAACCGCAGGTAGGTAAAGGTCATTCAGAACAGACTTTGTATTGAAAAAAGTATGTTCAGATGGTTTGATTATTTTCTGTCTTTATCTTTCAACAGGCTAGCCAGCAATAATAACATGAGCAAATCAGAGAGTGATCAGGAAGACAACGATGATCTCAATGATAACGACTGGTCGTATGGGGCAGAAAAAAAAGGTGAGAATGTTTTTCCACTCATTCATAAATTAAAATAAAACCTCTGGTTGATTTCATATAGTAAACAAACATCTTATTTCCACACCACAGCCAAGAAGAGAAAGTCTGATAAGGTATTTTTGTTTGTTCTCCCTTTTGAAGATGTTATTAAATATGTAAAATTAGTTTAATCTTATCTGAATTATTTTCTTTATACAGAGTCAAAATTCTCCAAGAAGATCCAAATCTATAAAACATAAAAATGGTGAGTCTATTTAGCTTCTTGTGTATTGGTGACGTTTTGCTCCATGTGCCTCTCATATTGTGGTATAAATGTTTGAAATTAATCTGCGCTGATCCTTGACCAGATGTCTGTTCATCAGTCTGGAAACATAAGCTTTTTCTCAGGACGTTCTGTGCCCACAGTTTCCTCAGCCACAGGAAGTAGGATCTGAACACTGGTTGTCAGGGTAAAGAGGTTATACACACAGTAGCTTTACCTTTGTAGATATACAACATTGGAAGGGTTTGGCATATTTTCAGGCCTACTACTGGATTCGTATGCAATTAATGTTGCACAGCGGAACTGTAAAAATATCAATTCTTTGAGTGTATTCATCAAGCTCTTTTTATAGAGTCTTTTTCAGAAGCGAGGAGCCAATCTAAATCTAAAGGGCTGTAAGGTGGTTTCAAAGTATATAACTTGAAGTGGTTGGAAACCGTCTTTATTGACACTAGACATCTTATTTTGATAATATTTGTCACAGTTTTATAAATGTTGTAAAAGTAAAGAGAATCAACAGTTGTCTTCTTTTCCAGGTGACCTTGGGAGCGGCGTCAGTACAGATCCTTACAAGGTGACTTTCCGTGTTCCATTTCCTGTAAGACCTCAAAGTTCTTCCGTCTTGTTTTGCATCTCAGTGCTAGGTTTTAATAATGTGTTTTTGTCCGTCTTTCATTTTAGTACAACTATAATACCGGCATCAGTTATGAAACTTTAGGCCCTGATGAAGTCCGATCCCTTTTAACAACGGTGCGTAACCCAAACATATTCACTTATTTCCTGTTCTTTACTTCTCACAACAATAGTTTTTACTATCATCCTGTTTTAATCAAGCCGATCATTCAGGTTGTGTTTGTTTCTACAGCAATGTGGGGTGATCTCCGAGCACACCAAGAAGATGTGTACCAGGTAATTACTGTAGAATCCACTGGCACATAGAGGAACTGGTGGGAACACGGTAAACCTATTTTATGGTGCTGATATCCGTGATTGTGCTGGGTAGCTTCAGTTCCTGTAGCACCTGGCGTTATGTCGGATAAGCCATGTTGTTGAATCCCAATTCGGAGGTTAGTGTCTTTATGTCTGCCCCCTTTGTGAAACTGTGTCTCAAAAACTAACGTTGTGGTTGCATGTTGAATCTGGAAACTTGATCATTTTCCTCTGTATGAAAATGATCATGCGTGGTGGGACTAACTCAGGGGTACACAAGTGGCAACGTGCGTTTATTTAGCTGGACTAGTGATTTAATTGTTTTCTCCTCAAAACGAAACAACACAGATTTAGACATACTTTTAGGTAGACCATGCAGGACCCTGTCAGTGATCTAGCTCTAACATTTCATAACATTACCCCCTGCTCCGCCCCTTCTGATTGGTCACTAGTTGTGTCCGCAGCAGCCCGTTCGTCCCCCCTGTGGCTGCATGCAGGCAGTCGGGGCGATGCATGACGCTGAGTCAGGGATTTCTAATGCCACCTTGTGTACCACCAGGTCTCCGCGGTGTCCCCAGCACTCGGACGAACAGAGGAGGGCCGTCAGGGTGTTCCTCCTGGGCCCGTCCGCGTGAGTGTCCCCCTCACACACAAGTGTACCTAACACATTCATGTTTGTGTGTGTTGTGACCCTCATGGTGCAGGTGTTTGCTGATGCAGTTCACTGTTTGTATGACGAGCAGAACACTGCTGCTGGTCAGTGTTGTGAACACTTTGGGAAAGGGGCATATGTTCTGAGAGTAACAGCTCCTTCACAAAGGCAGAGTTGTGTCCATCCTCTAACAAGTGATAACAGAACTGAGCTGATGACCCTTTATCATTTCAAAAGGTCTTATTTTATCACCAGGGGATTTTTGCCGGCCCGTATTGGGTCTCAGTGGGGCAGCGTCTCGACCAATCAGCATGTGATTCACAAAACTCTGTGGGGGTTCCTGCATCATTTGTGCAGGCAATTCTATGCCACCTATAGACACAGCATTCAACCACAAAACCCATATGACTGCAAGCTTGTGATAATAAAAATGTTGTTAATATAGTTTAATCAATTTGAGATTATCCTATGGTTGAAATTCTCATCATGAATGCCTTGCTGTGAAGAGAATACAACTTAATTTTTACTTAAAAAAAATAAAAAATAATATTCACCCTTAGAAATCTGGTTTTCTAATAACAATAAAAACCAAAAACAACGTTTTTTAAAGGCTTCATCAAAGTGTCTATGTATGTATTTTACAAATGAACTCTTTGTATATACACAATATATACAAAATGTATTTTATATTTTACCTATTTTTGAGAAAGTTGAATTGATACTGTTTCACTGGCCTAAGTACAATGGTACCATATTACAATTCAGAAGACATTGGTGATTAAAAATGCCAGTAGGTGAGGAGAAAAAAGGTAATCCTATGTCCGATTGATTTTGATGTTAATGTGCTGTAGATATTAAAATAATCTTACAGCCCTTTTGAATGTTTATTAAGTACTACTACTATTAGGAATATATGGAATTTATTTGATAGTTTTGTTCCCCCCAGTCTTAACAGGCAGTGTCTGTGTTTCCTGACAGGCCGTCGCTGCCTGATCCTGACGCTGTGGTGGAGAGCGAGAGTTTTGACATTCCTGACGGACAGACCCTGATGAGCCGCCTGCAGTGGGAGGACTCCCCCGATATCTCACCCACTGACTCCGCCTCATCGAAAGCCAGTAAGGAATGCATTCAATGAAAGGGACAGTTCAGCCCACAATCAGAACGTACTTATTGTTTCTCTCTAATAAAGTGCTAGTGTTTCGGTGTGACTGGTGTTGGAGATATGGGCCCTATACAGTAGATGTCTTCCTTCTCTTGAATATAATGGAACTAGGTGGCACTTGCTGCTCAAAAAACACATTTGAACATGACTCTGTTGCTCAAGAGGATCTACAGACCTCGATGTGAGCAGTTACTGCAGTTGACCGTTGATTCTGATTCTGATTTGTAATTACTGCCATGTTTTGCACCCTTGTTTCTCTAGAACAGAACAATATTGAACAATGGACATTTTCTCACAAGACATCGAAATCCAAATGTTTAACTACAGTCACAACTGCACTTTGAATTAGTTTGACCACTGTGGTTAGCCTTTGTAGGCTAGTACTGGTAAGGGGAAAAGTAGTTGTTTTTGATTGGGTTAAACTATGTCTTTTTAAATAATGTTCTTTATTTACGTAAAGACCACTGATGGATGCATTTTTTCTGTCTCACAGGCACCAACCATTCAGATTCTAAGAGGCCCAAGAAAAAGAAAAGGACTTCTCTCGGTTTGAACAGTGGAGTTGTAGTAGTAGGAGGTGGAGGTGGTGGAGTAGGAGGAGGAGGAGGACTAGGACTAGGACTAGGACTAGGAGGAGGAGTGAGTCTGACTGGAGGAGGAGGTGGTGGCAGCAGCAGCAGCTCTCAGAGTAATATCAGCTTATCGACCAAAAAAAAGAGGCCAAAACTCTCAGCCCCCTCTATCTCCAGTATCTACGATGACCTGAACTAGCATAAGCTCTCAGAGCCTTCAGTCCTGCTGTTCTTACCTACATTAACAGGCCCACTACAGGGAACTCATGTGGTTTATTGGCAAAAAAAAGGAAATACACAATATTTCCATGTTTTATCTCAAAGGATATTTGAGATTTTTACTGGAATGTTGTCTCAAAAAACCGCTGTGTGTCCACATAGTTTTGGCTTCACAAATCTCAGATGTTTTTTCTCCAAATGACACCCTCGCCACACTCTGTGTCTATACCTATCAGCTACAGTACCGTTTACAAATAAAACTGAGTGGTACAATATTATATATTTATAAAAAATTTTGGATCACATTTAATATATATATATAATTTACTTATTTTATTTTCCACTGCAGGTATTTTGACATGATATGTCAGGGAAACCACAGGTCTAATCTAAAATAATGATGATGATAATGAACATAGCTATGGTAACACAATTATTAAACCTATGCTTTCCCTGCTAAGACTTATCAAAATATTTGCTCTGAAAAGGCCCATTAGACGTCTCAAAAGTGTCCCCTCTTTATAGGAAGTCGATTGAACATCTTTTATTAGCTGTAGTCAGTCAAGAATGGCTTTTGTTGCCCCTACTTTTTTTTTCTTATTGTTGGCAATTCTGTGACCTGTCCCTCGTAACTCAACTGGAGGAGACATAATGACTTTGACTGCTTTTATTCCAGCATTTGACACAGGTGTTTTCATCAGTGGCTTTTTAATTCTAGCATTGTATTGCACAGTTGTTAGTGTGTCTGTCAGCTGACTGGCATTCAGTTTGAACGCACTTTTTTGCCTAGTGTATGTGTGGTAATAGTGTGTGATCATTTATATTTTTATAAAACTATGCATCCTAGAATGTGACATTTTTAAGATAGTACGTGTGCCATTTAATATATTTAACTTTTTGTTTACATCAAAAATATATTTAACTTTTTGTTTGCCTGTACAGTGGTGTGTATTTTATTTGTGTGCTAATGCAGATTTTGATATTTCATGAGCCATGAGCCACGAGGCTCCTGGGGCACATAGTGCGTGTATGTATGACACGTGAGAGGGAAAAGTCATCATGAATCAAACGTAACTTTCTTTCCTTTAAAAAAAAAAAAAAAAAACGTTTCTTGAATATTTTCCCTGAATTTCTGCTTAGAGATCAAATTCATTAAGTGATGCAGTTCTGTTTGTCTTTCAGGATCATGACTAATAAGTCTGTGAGCTTATATCATTTTCTGAAGTTGTAAGATAAATTACATGCTTTAGAGGTCAGATGCACTATTTTACTAATCTTGTACTTTTCACAGTGGATATTTTAAAGAAGCTTTCTTTATTTGTGTGTCTTATATTTAAACCCAAAGGCTTTACAGTTTCAGAAATAATTTTAGTAAGGAGTGCATAGGTGAGCAGAAGGGTGTACTTTGTTTGTGTATATATGGACATCAATGCTGCAAAACTAAGGGACTGTACGACAATTACTACTTTTCAGCTTTTCAAACCGTAAATGTGGTCCACTTTGAACGACCATGAATACTTTTGCTTTTTTCACATTGTGTTCACTTCTTTCTCAAGAAAAGCCTTTTCTGAATTTGATTAATTTTGCCTGATGTTTTTGCAAAGGCAGGAAACACTTTTTCTCGACCCACAACATTTGAATTTCATTCTTCTCTTATTATATGTGGGAAATAAATGTATTGCATGGATCACAAAGAATCAAGATCCTTTTTTGTGATTCCTTGTCAGGATCAACTTGCTACTTGGAACAACAACTCAGTTTTTAATAACAGGAAAGATGAAAGTGCTGCCCGAGTCCGATTCACTCATTGGTAGCTCAAATGAACCCCCCCTTCCCACTCAAGTAATTTTGGTACAGTCCCTAAAGCCAAGTACATTAATTTTTCTCAGATGTAATGAATGTGACAATCTGTCAAAGCTTGATTTATTTCCAGTATGGTTACTCCTTTGGCGTCTGCTTCTGTTATGGTATGTGGAAACCTTTTGAATATTTTCCAGTAAAGTCTTGTGACGTGCACTAAAGAAGTTATTGAGATGCTGTGCTTGGTGTGATTTCGATTCTTAAGCCACTTTTTCTTGGATGAAGCGAACAACTGATGTTGTGCTGTGGCTCTTTGTGTATCTGTGTTCAGTACGAGAGCAATTACAAAGAACGTGATGTTGTGAGTTTCCAAAACATTTCTTGCAAAAGCACAAATCTGTGCATGTGTGGATGACTTGTACATGATCATAATGTGATCAGTATTGTCACTTAAATGCATACTGGTGTTTGTATATGAATAAAAACAAATCGAACCCTGAGGCTTACTTCTTTAGCCTACAAACAAATACTGAGACAGGTTTGGTTTGAAATGCTTTAATTTGAGACATCACTGAAGCCAGAGCAGTCCAGCATAATCAGGAGGGTTCCTCCAAATCTTTAAGTGCCAGATGCAGGTTCATCTGATTCATTCTATCATTTTATTTACAGAAAATACACAATATATTTACAATATCATCTCAAAAAGTGTCTATTTCCATATCTAGTGATTATTTAAATTAGCCTATTTCTAAAGCAACAGTTTTTCCGCCCGTCCATATTTGCAGTTCAAATAACAATATATTGGTAGTAAAACTGGCACACAGCACAACAGTGAGTGGTTCCAAAGAGTATTAGAGTCTTGCATCTATTAGTATAATTATACTATTTTTTTTTTTTACACAAACAGCGGCCTAAAAAACAGACGGACAAAATAGCATCTTGAATCTTTAGCAACAATAAAAGAGCGGACAAGATAAAGCCATGAGTGTTTTCAACATGGTGTGCACCACTAAGTCATGTTTGGAGAGGAGTTCTTCACTCGCAGCAGATTATTATTTACTCCACATATACTGTACAATCACTCATCTGCTGTTTCATCTTGGTACATGCACAAACAGGCTCACCTAGCTAGCCACCCACACACTACCATTCACTCACACACTGCAGGGATCCAATCAGCTGTTGGATGTGCACTGAACCCATTTGGATTAGTCTGTCTCTCCAGGTGCCGCCCCCTGCTATAGTTATTTGTATTCTACTCACAACATTCAGCTGTAAGTGTGTCTGCTTTCTCCCGGTCTGTTCAGCGGCTGTGCATCCCAAATATCAGAAAGCTGAAGAACACAGTGACTCCCACGAGGGAGATGGTCGCGGGCGCCGTGAAGAACTGCCTGTAGTTGATGCGGAAGTACCACACCACGGCCAGTATCACCACGAACACGGGCACGACCAGGCTGCTGGTGCTTATGGCTACTCCAGCAGCCCTGAATCCCCCCGAGACCCCGGACCCAGCTCCCGCCCCAGACTGAGCCCCTTCCTCTGGAGGCTCCTCGTGCATGGCCTGGGAGACGTGGCAGTGGATCACGCTGTTCTGTGAGATGTTTAGGGAAAACAGGGTCTTCTTGGGATCCTGCAGCAGCTGGCCTTGGTAGATAAGTTTGATTTGATGCTCTCGACCTGAGAAGTATTTGCTGGAGCAGAAATGAGACGAGAACACATATTAATGGACAAGTACAGCATTTTTGGACATTCACTTATTAGCTTGGTTGCAGAGTTGATAGGAAAACAATAACATTCCCTTCTGAAGCTCAATATACTAGAAGGGGAACTATATTTATTTTGAATCATGTACAAATTCCTGATAGTAAAGTTAGAAATTGCACTATTTTTGCCAGATCTGTCGTTCAATGCTGTAAAGCCTCACATAGGAAAGTTCTCTGAAGAGACAAGCCAAAACACTGTCTACATGTAAACATTGAAAACAACATTTCAAAAAATACTGAGTTTTACACTGTATTCACGGACCAAAAACAGGTAGAAATGTCTATGTTTTCCTTTCCTATCCCTCTGCAAGAAAAGCAAAGCATTTCCTAAACTGTAATCTATTCCTATGGCAGTTTTTACTTGAAGTCTGCAGGTGGATGTTTGGGGTTGTTTTACCTTTTCAGCACTCCCACTGTATCCTCCGGTTCGACAACAGCTAGCTCCTCTGTGTCATTTAAAAACTTTAGACGGACAGAGATGGAGGTGGCCGTGGTGGGGGAGGGGGAGACGGTGCTGGACAACACTGGAATATGGTCTGTAATCTTTTTCATTTCCTCCTGCCCCTCATTATCATCCTCATCATCGTCGTCGTCATCATCCTCGTCATCTGAAGTGTGCAGTCTTCCAGCCTGGGGTTGCTTGCTCTGTATGTCCAGCAGGAGATCAGCCCTCACCCCCTCAGCTCCCTCCCCCGTCCCCTCCCCCTCTCCTCTCTCGGTCCCCGACTCCCCGTCGTCCGGCTTGTTCTCCTGAGAGGCCGGGGGAGTCTGCTGCTCTGGGGTGTCTGTGCTGGGAGACCCTCCGCTGTAGCTCTCGTGGGCCCCCAGTCCGATCAGGGAGGCGTGAGCCCCCACGGTGAGGATGGTGCCCAGGATGTGGTCGCCCCGGTCGGCCACGTGAGTCGAGAGCCAAGCGAAGACGAGGGCCAGGACCAGGAGCAACACCCCACTTGCCACCGTCACCTCAGTCTCCATCCCGTCCAGCATGGTCAGTGCACACACTGCCATCTCTGTCCTCCAAACAGACACAACACACGTTTAGTTATACACCGCCAAATCAAAGTGTGCCACAATTTAGCAAGCCTTATCCAACATGCAACATTATCACATATTATGGGAACATTCTAACAAACTAAAGGTTACATTCATTGAAATATATTCTGGTTTTATGTATAATTTATAGTTTTTTACCAATATAATAATTCACACGATATTATCAAGTTATTTCAATAACAACGTTAAACATATTCTGTTTTTCTGCATGGAAAGTTGGTTAAATTATTAATCGATTCATAAAAGTTGACTATTTTGCTGTTGGGTTGCATCTAACATAAATTTGCCCGAAATAAAGAACATTTCATCCAAACGTCAGAACATGGCCTTTTTATGTTTCTTTTTTTAAAAGGATAAGCAATAATTGATCAATAAAAAAGCAATACGTTATGACCTTTCAGCAATAATAAAGCTGGATTCTGATGAACTGAAGGAAGTGACATCGATTCTTTACACAAGACACCGATAAACTGGGTTTCATGTAAACACATTGTATCGCAGCATTTTGAACTCATTAACTACACAATCATGCTTTGTTTGCAAGGAAATTCATAATCTTTAACGAAGAATTACCATTTGTAAAAGTCAAAAGAGTTTTTTAATGTGTGAAAGTTACATAAAGCTCCGCAGCAGCGAACCATCGGGGCTGGTCACCAGCTGTTTGAAGCCAAATCCTAACACCTGTTTAAAGACGTGTCAACAGGGATTTCTGTAAGCCACGTTAGTCATTACACTCAATATTCAGGAAACCCAAATGTGCTGTACTGAAACATGTGCTACTAACTTGTTATGCTGTAGTTTATGTTGCTAGTTAATGAGCTAAGTTAGCTTGCAAGCTAGCCTACCTTGCTAGCTAAAAAAAAAACGACCTTCGGCTGTTTGCGACCTCGCTGCTCGCTTTTGTTTTAGTCGCAACAGTTTTCAAACTGAACACAGAGCTCGTGCGAACGTCTGTGTTTTTATTGGTTTTAAACAATCTTACCTGCCAGCTGTTTATGTGTATTCAAAGCATGTTTAAAGACGAGGCTCAATGCTAGCAGTTAGCAGCTGCTCCTTAAAAAACACATAACAAACAGAGAGACGGCGTGACGTCATCGCGGGCAGTTGGCTGCGCTTGTTTTTGAGACGGATCACGCCTGTTGCTCCACCTGCTCATGCAATAACAACTATAGATATCAAATATTGTGGCATTTACCTTGCTGGTGATTTGGGGACCTATAAAAAGCGGTGTAATGTAACTAAATGCATTTGCTAAAGTACTGTAGTTCGGTAAACTATTGAGAAACTTGCTTTATTGCCAATTCGTTTTAAAACATTTTATTTCTAAATCAATAAGCATTGAGATAGGCCTACATAATTGACAACACATTACTGTTGCTGATTTGCATTATTTGATAAATAATTTATATTTAATCAATTACAATGGGTCATACTGTGTGTTATAAAATGACCACGTTTTGTTTTTAAAATGTTAATCTAGTAAACTACTGTATGTTACAAGTTCAGTTGCTATGAAATACAAGGAATGTAGTGCAGCGCAGCAAGTACAATATTTCCCTTGGAATTAGAGTGATGTAGAAGTATAAAGTAGCATTTATCTATTTGAATACTGATCTACTTGTGTATCCAGTTTAAATATAAAATGCTAAAAATAACAAAAGCATGTTATTGCTAATGTTTTGAGTAGTAGTAGTTTTATTGGTAGTAGTGGTGAATAATTCCCATATGATATTTAATTTAAAAGCTATGCATGTAAGCTTATTTTTGATTGCACATCACATCGAAACAGTAATTTAATTTCACAAGTTTTGTGCAAGCAATTTATTGCCAAAATTGTTGTTAAAACAATAGTAACAACAATATAAATATATAAAAAGTAAATATTCAAACAGGAGGTCAAATTATACTTTTTTTCCTTACACAAACTCAACCTGAAAAGTATTTCAATTTGACAAAAAGAAGCATGACTAAAGAAAAGAGTAACAGAAACAGGTTATTGTTATCTCAAATAAAAGTACAGTATGAAGTCACTGGAGCGTCCCGTCGTTACTCAGCAGCAGATAGTCCTTCACAGAGCTGGGAATGTGCAGTTCACTGACCGCTTGGAAACACCGGGCTCCGAGGCGCAGGCGTAAAGCCCACCGACAGAGATGCTGCAGAGAGCGAGGCTGGCCGGTCCGCTGACGCACCAAGTCCAAGAAAGATTTGTGCTCCTGAGGCAGCAAAAAGACAGACAAAAACACTTTAGATCACAGGATCATAAACAAAAGGAGGAAGAGGAGATTACATGGTTTATTTACCTCATATATCTCCGTGGACAGAGAGTCCATCCACTCACAGCAAGGGATCAATGTGTACGAGTTCAGCATCACCTCCAGAGTGGCAGGAGAGAGGACACACTGCTTCAACATCTGGAGAGAGGAGAACAAAATCTATTATTTAAGGAACTTCAAAACACTATTTTGTAGGGCTGCAAGTACTGATAATTTCCTCTTCAAATAATCTGCCAATTAATTTCTAGTTTAATAATTTCGTATATAATGGCTAGGAAAACTTTGAACAGAAATGTCCATCCAAGTTTCTCAAGGTCTGCTTGCTATCTTGCTTCATCCACTATTTTGACATATGTTTCATACTTAAACGTTTCTTACTGGAAGTATTATATTTGATATATCTCCTTTATGGAATCCTTTGATTGATAGATTTCTGGTGCTACATTTGTTTGGAGTTAATTAAATGAAGATTATGAAGATATTTCCATTCTGAAAATGTGACTTGACATTGTTCAACCTTCCCCCGCGATTCCCTTTTTGAAGCTTTCTTGGTAATAACATCATCACATAATGATATATAATAGCATATCTATGCTTTAATATAATATAATTTGTTCATGTATCATTTTCATTTTCTCTTAGTGTGTTTTTAACCTTTGGTGAGACAGGCTGAGCTCCATGGTTCAAAAGTGACCGTGCTATTGCTTCTGGTTGGTGGCTGGGGTAATCTTCAACCGCCTTAAAGAACAAGCAGAAAATAGTTAATCCCACTACCCAAGCTTTAAAAATAAAAAAAAGGATATCTGATCAATCACTTTCTAAACGTCCTTCCCTCCAGCCCTCTGAGCTACCTGCAGCAGGCAGTCCATCGGCGTGTATCCTGCACAGTTGGCAACATCTGGCCGAGCTCCATACAGCAGGAGGACGTCCACAATCCGGGGGGTGCAGTTGGCGCAGGCGTTGTGCAGGGGGGTGTGGTGCTTCCTGCCTGCAGTTCTGGGATCAGCTCCTGCAGCCAGCAGCTTTTGGACCACTCGTAGATAGCGCCCGGCCTCAGATTGTCTCTCGGCCCCGGAGCAGGCGGCGTTCAGTGGGGTCTCCCCCTCCTGATTTGTGGCCAACACATCTGCTCCGGTGCTGAGCAGCAGCTCCACGTGCTGCTCCAGGCCTCGCCGGGCGGCCAGGTGCAGGGGCGTGATCCTCGCCCCCCCCAGCCTCACACTGACCTCTGCTCCTCCCTCTATCAGCAGCTCAGCACACCTGGAACAAAAGGCACATCTAGAAAAACATGCAGTCTCCATCTGACATGAGCTAAGGTTTTCTTAAAAGCAGGAATATGGAAGATCTTTTGGTTGAGCCAAATTATTTCAGTCTCAGAGAAGAATGTACAAATGTGTTTTATTACCAGAACATTTAGGAATCAAAATCAGAATATACTCATCCCACAGAACGGAAATGTACGTTGTTACAACATAAGTGAAGATAAAGACGAAAAGTAGAGGGGCTTTTGTTTTTAATACTATAGTTAAGAAACTCAACTAAAGTGGTGGGTATGGCCTTATGCAACATTCAGCTTAATATATATAAAACTAAAAAGTAAGACCTCTCCATAATTGAGAGGCTGACAACATCACTTTAGAATCCTGTTAGAATCGGAGGATGTGACAAAAATAACGAGAGTTTCTCTTTATTTTTGTCATGCACACAGCACAGCACACACAGTGAAATGTGACCTCTGCATTTAACCCATCCTAGTACTTGGAGCAGTGTGCAGCTACTGTACAGCGCCCGGTGAACCCACTTTTGATGATTCATCCATTATCAATCATTGCAGATAGGGTAATTGATGAGTGGACTAAGTTTTGCAGCTCTAAAAGACAGCCTAAAGCATATCATTGATATTAATGAAGAACAAATGGTGAGTTGTGAGCTCCTCTCTCACCTCAGTGACTGTGCGGAGGTGCAGCTCAGGTGGAGAGGAGCGCTGCCGTCTGCTGCCAGCACTTCAGGGTCAGCTCCATGAGAGAGCAGCAGCTGGACGCACAGATCATGGCCGCCCACACAGGCATCATGGAGGGCCGTGCTCCCCCCAGGGTCAGCGTTCACCTCGGCCCCACGGAACAGCAGCTCCTCCACACAGCCCGAGTGTCCTCTGCTGGCAGCCAGGCGCAACGCTGAGGTCTGCTTCACCTTGGAGCTCAGCGTCCACATGCCTGACGCAGGCACACAGGGACAGTGTGTGTTAAGTCAAGGTTTGCGTTAGGTTGTGTTTTAAGTCAAGTGTTTCTTTTTTTGTGGTCGTTTTCTCTCTATTTGTAGTTGCTTTGCGGTCCTCATGTGTCTCTTTGTAGACCTTCTGATCTTTTTGTAGTCATTTGAAGTTCCTTTGAAAAGTCATTTGTTGCGTCTTTCTTATAATTGTGTCACCTTGCAGTTACTTTGGTTGTCTTTGTGTTCATTATGGTGTCTTTGTAGTCATTTTGAGTACTTCTTTTTTTATTTTTGCATCTATTTGTAGTTGTTTTGGTGTCTGTGCAGCTGCTTTAAGCTTCTTTGTAGACATTTGTGTCTATGTTTTTGTTTTGTCTCTTTTTATAGTCGTATTGAGTCCCTTCAATGACATTTTTAATTTCTTTGTGGTCATTGTCAGTCCCTTCTTGGGCTTTATACGTGTTCCTTTGAGTGACATGTTGTGGGTAAAGGCCTACATCCTAACACCTCCATGACTATAAGAAAAAGGTCTTAAATTCCTACCCATCTCTGGAGCCCACACCATGTCTTCATGCACCGTCTCCATCAGGGCGTTGACCATGGCAGCGTCCTTCAGCACCGCATACACTCCTTTCATGTCCCCACACATGAAGGTGTTGTGGACGGCCGTGTCTCTGCACCGGACCGGGTCACGAGGGGCCCGGACCTCCTGCAGTCGCCCCTGCCTGGGAGAAAGCCTGGGGGCCCTGGGTAGCGGGGCCCTGGTCATGGCTCTCCTATTGGCCAACGCTCGCCGAGCATCCTCCCACTCCTGAAGCTCCTGCTCCAGCCTCAGGGAGCGCAGCGAGGTAGAAGTGAACGGAAAGGTGTCCTTTGACATGGCACCTGAAATTCAACCTACAAGATAATTAACAATGGTAAAAAGAAGACGAGATACTAATCTAACTTTATGTTTCCTCTCCAAAAATAGACTTGCCACAAACTATTGCAAAGTAGCACAACAGAAAATGTAATAAAAACAAACCTTCTCCAGTGATGAGTGGGACAATGTAGAATACAAAATAAACTATAAATTTTAAGTGTGTTTCGTTTCTTTTTTGGGTGAATTCATACTGTCAACCTTGTTATTTTTATCACTGAAAGGATCTTATACAATTAGTTTTGTCCTTAGTTATCTTGATTTAAATTTAAATGTTTGGGAGGTTGTATTGTCATTTTATCATACCAATAGTATCATCAGGTATGTGTATATTTTTCCTTTATTGAATTCAAAGTAGATCTTATGCTTTTACCTTGTAAGTCCACACATCATACTGTTCAGAGAAAATGTCTGCCTCTACTCACCTTCACTGGAGCTGCAGTGAGTCACTGTGGTCCAAGCAAAGGTCAGGTCAAAACTTTCATTATTTAAATCAGTCTTGTGTACCTTTCATGTCAAATATTACAACTCGAAATGACTTACGGTATCAGTCGCAAGATTGTTGCTCAAACACAACTTCAGCACTAGTTATTATTAGATCAAAATGAAAACGGATACATGTATTAACATAAATGGCCACCAGGTGGCAGTATTGATACCCACCAAAACAGTCCTCTGATCAAAGCACCAAGAAACGTCAAGATGTATAAAACGTTAACATGAATCTAAAATGTTCCTTGTTTATTTCCTGTTGTTGTTTATGCAAAAGGTTGTCACTAAGCAATGCAATTCAAGTTAGGTTCAAAACCTAGTATAACAATGTCTGGTTTACAACTTTTTTTTGAGCATGTATAATCAGTGTGGAAAAAACACACATGATAAACAGCTTTAATCAGATTTGAAAGTCATAATAAGGATATATTATTGTAATATTATCCATAATGTTAAACAATATAGAAGTTAGAGTTATTATATAATATATTAGACTATTTATTTTCAGAAAGTCTCTCATATTTTAAGATTCTAAGTAACTACTTTGAGAACGTCAAGTAGGAAAGTTGGAGTGAATCATCTTGCTCTGCTGCAATACACTTTGTAAAAACATACCTACGTCATTACGTCGTGTTTGAACGTGGCGGCGCGATCCCTGGCAGCAGCTCACCTAAAGTTGATTAGCAGCGTTTTCTTGTAAAATTAAAGAATGCGAACAAAACGACATTTTACATTACAACGCAGGTAGTAAATGGCATCAAATCCCTCAGTAAGTTTGGTATACAGACCGATCAAATACGGCTTTAATCGTGATATCTCAGGACTGCGATGGTAAGTGAGCTAAAAAGCAGACTCAAAACAATCTGTGCTAACTAAGCTAACAAATGCTAACATTTAATGCAAAATAGTTTATGACATTTCTTTTTTTTGTTTAATAGACAATCTTTAGCATCTGGTGATTTAAACCTGCATTTGCTGTGAATACATGTTATCAGTGTTTTGTTTCCTGTTACAGACCTGCAAATTAAGTGGCCTGTTCAACATTGGTGAGGACTTTGATGATGAGGTGAGTCCCAGCAACAACACACCTGATGGTACTTAACTATCAGTGAACCGGTCAGATCATTTACCCCAGTCAAATAAATCCTTGAAGATGTTACTTTACAGTAAAAAGCATGTAATAATAATCAGGAGTACTAAATTACTTAGGATGCTGGAATCATAACATTGCAAATATGTCGATCCACTCATTTATTAATACAGGAGTCATTTTAGATACACTTGAATGCAATCACATGGTTGGGTAATTTAAATTATTTCAAACCATTTTTATTTTTTTAATGTATTTTTTACTGTAGTGCTGTAAAAGTACAAAAAACAATGTTGACTGTAGTAGACTAGTAGTGCTGTAAAAAGTACACAATTCCTGAGGCGATTTACTTTTTATTTAATGTCCTAATAAATGAATGTACAGCTGTAAGAATGAATGTAAGTCTTGATTGCACAAAGGAAATGTATGTAAAAATAAGTAGGCTACGAGGGTAAAAAATGAAAAAGAGGAAAAGCACAGTATTTGAGTAACTGTACTTAATAACAATCCACCATTGAGCATGGGCTGCTCCATTTCTTTGACATAATGATCCTCCTTCTTTTGCTGCTTTCTCACACTGTGTGTGTGTGTGTGTGTGTGTGTGTGTCTCTCTCTCTCTCTCTCTCTTTCTCTCTCTCTCTTACGTGCTCAATCTCTCCCTCTCTCTCTCTCTCTCTCTCTCTCTCTCTCTCTGTGTGTGTGTATCTCTCTCTCGCTCTCTCTCTCTGACTGACTGACTGACTGTGTGTCCTAGGACCTGCTCGGGACCGACTGGGCTGTCCGCTCAGCGCCTGGATCAGCTGATGTGGCAGCTGCTGTGTCCTCCCGCTCGCTGCGGGCTTCCTCTGTTTCTCACAGAGAGCCGGAGAAAAACTGCGTTCAGCAAACTGCAGAGAGATCAGCTGCTCTGTGCATCAGCTCGGCATCGAGGAGCAGCACACACACCGCTGCAGGACAAACTGTTGCTCAGGGTTTGAGGCGGCCCTCTTCCTCCTCCTTTTCCTCTGCTCAGACTCATCCTCACACACTGGATAAATCTCAGCCTGCTTTGACACACCAACAGAGTCCTGCCAACACGGCGGGACTGGATGATTTTGATGATTGGGATGTTGACCTGGCAGACCTGGATGAGTGTGACCAGCAGATGGTGCAGTCTGCTGCTCCAGCCCAACCTGCACCTGCGTTTAATCCTGCAACTTCAGCAAAAACACTGCGACCCCCGACAAGCAGCGGACCTAATCGGACCCTGAGAGACTTGAACGTTGCTCCCCAGGCCCCTGGCTCTTCTAGTAGTTACCTACCTACTCGGATCTGCTCCACTCATGTTCTCAGAACGGCAAACCCCCGCCCCTCTCCCCTGTCAGCGCCTCCTCAGAGTCAAAGTGTTTTCTCTGGCCTTACTGTGTCTTCCCCTGCCCCCATCCCCATTTCCAGGACACTCAACAGGCCCCAGAGACCGTGGGCAACACCAGGACCCTCCCCTCAGGGCCGTGCAATCTTTGAGTCATTCTCCCCAGCGCCCTCTTCCTGTTCCTCACTGAACCCCTCCACCCTCAGCCCTCATCCCCTTCACACACCGGTCCTCACCAACCGCCTGGTGCAGCTGGTCTCAGCCTCCAATAAGCTCCCTCAGAGAAGAACCCGCTCCGAGGCCCACCGGCCCAGGACCCGCCGCTTCCCGGGGCCCGCAGGGTTCCTGCCAGAGCAGGTTAGTGTCATCCTGCAGCAGGCCTGTCAGGATAGTTACGTTATAGACACATCGCAGCATATAAAGACAGGACAATGTTATCATCAATGTTATATAATAGTTTTAAAATTACAATGATAAAATGTAAATAATTGAAATTAGTATTAAAGTAATTTTTCTCGACATTCAAAGCAGTTTACCCCTCCTTGCCATCTGGAGTTCCTGTTTGTGTATGCCTCCTTGAAGTGTGTTGATGTTGACTCAAAATGAAAGCAACCGAGCAGTGAAATCACGTTTAATCTCACAGTCATGATCAGAAATGCTGCTGCTGCTCAGTGGTTGTCACCAAAGCTCTAATGGATGACTCCTGTCGAGAGCATCTCATTGGTAAGGTGTGTTTCCATCATGGTGCAGCGGAATAATATAACCCTTCTCTCAGCTTCAGGGTCAGAAGCTGGACGACATCGTGGTCTCTGTCCCTCAGACTCCGGCTCACGGTGCTGTGGCCCGGTCACCAAGCCAGGTAATAAAAGCGGTGATTGACATAAGACAAAAAACATATTGGGGTCACTTTCGCCTCAAATTGTAAGAGTTCAGTTTAGAAATGAGCAATCAGACCTGGGATGTTGCAGTATTATGGTATGCGCCATAGGCATACCGCTTAATATTTGTTTTCATAAATCTTGTTTTAACTAGATATGTATTTTTATCCTGTAATTGATTACATTTTCTCTATTGCACTACAAGTTGTTTTGTCTATAAACTTGCACAGAAAAAAGATAACATAGTGTGCATAGTAGGCAAGTGGGGGAATACATAACAATTAGAAAGAAAAAACTAAAATGACTAAGTGAGGATGTGGCAGCTTCACACGCTGTGTTTTATTCCTCATTCTCCCGCTCTTCTGAGGCAGAACAAAAAAGAAACAACGAAAGTGACAAATAATGTAGTTGGACAATCTGAAATATATATATATATATATATATATATTTGTCCAGTTGCCAGACCAAGAAACATGTGTAATAGCAAATGTGAAGGTGCGACCACGTTCACACAATTAGCAAAAACACAAGCACACATCCACACATTTGTCAAGATTCAGCCTCCTGGAGACAAAGAGAACGACAGGGTGGAGAAATCGCCACCGACACAGTGATCTAAAGAGCTGCTGGTCACAGTTGGAAAAAATAAACCTGATATTTTGAAGCCACGGTTACTGAATGTCTCTGAGTGTTTAAACGGTTTGACTCTGTTTAAAGGGCTCCTGCTCACAGACTGAAGAAGACGAGTTCAGCGGTGGTCCCTGGGCTGCGATGAAAGCAGAGATGGGATTGGACGAGAGGAACCCCTCGTGCTTCCTGTACTCCTACAGTGTAGTCATGGTTCTCCGAAAGGTGATTCATTTTGTGTCTTTCTTTTTTTTGTTCACCACCTTAACCAAACATTAACTTCTGAGACCTTGCAAACTGAACTCGTTGTGTTTCCTTGATCAAACCAAAACACAATAGTCTTTAGAATATCAGAATATTCAAGTGTTTCTTTTCCGTTATTATATTAGAACCTTTTTTCATCTACAATGGTCCTAATACAGCCTCGTAAACTACAAGTGAAAAAAGCCATCCTAAAACTCTTTCAGTCCATTAAATAATTAGCTATAAGTGCATTTTTATTCAGGTCAAGTCGGTTTTGTTTGATTTATGTTCCATCATAACAGTGTATCGCTGCTGGAGGTCTCTTGGCATAATCAGGACAAATGGAGTAGCTGTACTAGAGGCTTTTGTAATTAGAAACAGAACAATCACTCATCAATCACTCTAATGGAGACTGCTGTTATTCTTCCCTCTCCATGTCTCGATCTCTGTGGAGTAACTCGCCAGTGTTTAGTCATAATACACTGTTGGTTTCTGTTGTGGTCTTTGAAACAGACTCCCGTCACATGCCCAGAGTCATTGAAGGACTCTGGCTAAGCTCCTTCAGGTTAAGCTTTAACATGAACCTCAGCTTGCCCCTGTTTGCATCAATAAACAAATAAACAAACATTCCTCCCAACTTCTGTCGACCGAAGCGTCCACAGTAAATCATGTTCGGTAATGTGTAGAGTTTGTTGTTTTCATTTTTGGTGTAAGGCAGTGATCATTTGTCTAAAATGCATCTTAAAACTAAATAGATAATCTGCAGCGGTGTGCATTTCTTTTTCTTTCTCAATGGAACCACCAGCTGACCCCATAAATAGAAGTTTTGCACCAATTTGGAAACGTATTTTCTCACATTTGTATAGATACATTTATGTAGTCCCATAAAATGCTGAAAACAATATTTGAAGTTAATAGGGGTGTGGAATATATAGGTAAATACAGTGTGAGCAGTATGCATGAACGAGGTACGAAATATACATTACAGTAGGAATGTGTGTGTATGTTATAAGTTCAAAATCCCCAAATATTAATTTAATTACCGTATATTACAAATGAAACAAAGAAGCTAATAATCAATGTAGTTAAGACATTTCATCCAGCCACTGTTTGAGATTTGTGCTTGAAAAATGACTTGAATAAAAATGGATTTATTTCTGAACACGCTGTTATTTGATTAACCAGCTCATGTGTGTCGATTGATTTCCTCGTCTTTGTAGGCTGCGCTGAAACGGCTGGCGAAAAACAAAGTTCCCAATATGGCCGTGCTGCTGAAGAGCATCATCCACACACACGCTGATGCCAAGGTTGTGTTTAAAGACCCGACAGGTAGGACACACACACAATGATTCTTACCGAAATAATGACACTGGCTGGTAGTATAAATAAGGGCTGTAATCAAAATGTGGAGATTGAAATTGTGTTATGATGTTATAAAATATGACAACAGACGTTCAAAATTCTCTGAAAACCCCAATAGAAGCTTTGACATTTTTAAAATAATGAGACAGAATCAGAAACAGCTTTGTTACCAGGTGGGTTTACACGTACGAGGAATTTCAATTGATGTCGTGGTGCATACATAAAAGTAAAACAAAACTTAAAAACACAGATGGAAAACAATTTTAAGAGAACTTTAATATAAAAAAGAAATATTCAAAAATTCAGCCCTGGTAGAAATTAGTATAAGCTTATAACGTCTGTGTGAATGATAAATAACTGACAGTCGTGTGTTAGGTGCTGGTGAAGCCTCTTTATCATACTTGAATCACACACAGATACATACATCTGTATACAGCATTCATCATCTGAAGCTGGAAGCCTCCTTCCTCCTCCCTTTGCCTCGTCTCCTTCCCTTCTCGTCTCCCCGTTGAGCCTTCACCCTTTTTCATCTGATCCTCCTCTTAAGCTTAGCCGGTTGCCATGGCCTCCACAGAGCGGCTACACGAGGTGTGCTGATTATTAACACTCAGGAATGGTTGTTGTACTCAACACAGGACGTAAGTGCTTATTAGTGATTCAATTGCAGTAGATTGGCAACAGCAGTGGGTGGGTTTTAAGTGCTTGTGACACCAGGAGGGAGCTTTCTGTCAGTGATGTTCCTCCCACCTGCTGAACGCTCTCTCAAGCAGGCAAATAGCTCCAAAGCTGCTGTCAACCAGTATATAAATCTTTTTTTATATATATATATATTTATATATATCTCAATACTTTTTGGTGAAGAGTCATTCATATTTAATGAAAAGGAATGTTTCCGCATCACACTCGGGTTCTACTGCATAAAATTCAGATGTTCAAAAGGTTTAATGTCATATCATAAACACAACAACGGTGTAGTTATGTAAATAACGAAACACTTGGGTCACATGTTCCTAAACAATGCAAATACAAGACATACAAAAACTAAAAGCAAAACAATAAGAATTGTGCAAGCCCAGGCCTTAACTGTTCCTGAGTCAGGTGGTTTTAGTGATGCTACGGTACCGCCTGTCTGGCAGCAGACATAATGGTGACCTGTGTTACCTGCATCATACCCTTTTAAAAGCAAGATTTAGAATGAAGTTGGATAAAGGTGTTGAGTTTCTTAAAGGAGAGGTGTCATGGCCATTTCCACTGATCATAATTCCATTGTTGAGGTATACTAAAATAGAAAAATACTGTGCAATTTTCCAAACTCACATTGGTTTCGCAAACAGCATCTCTTTAAAGTATGTGTATTCAGCAGTATTCACTTTCTCCACTAAACGGCTCGCTGCAGCACCCCCCCCCCCC